CTGAGGGGCTCTAGACCCTTTCCACTGCCTTTGTGGGGAACCCCTAGAGGCTCCGCCTCTCAGGCGGCCCCCACTAAGGGAGCCTTCCTTTACCATGTGTCTCGTATCATTTGTTTCTTCTGAGCCGCCCATTCTGTTGGTGCTCTCTGCTGAAGGGAGCCTGGTGGAATTTGCTGAGTCTCTCTCCGTTTCAGGGGGGCCACTAGGGGCAGCAAAATGGTTCCCTGGGGGCTGGGTTTCCGTAGGGAGTGCTATGGGGCTGCTAGAGCCACAGCAGCACCATCGCGGAGCCAACAAGGGATCCTCGTATTCTTGATGCTGCAACTGCTGCAGATCTTCCTGCAGTGGCTGTTGCTGCCGCTGCTGCTGCTGTTGTTGCTGCTGCGCCTGCTGCACCTTCGGCGCCATACTTCCCTCGGCAACGCGGTGTATAAGGGTGGGCCTGGCAAGCTGGGGCAGCTGATGCAGATGTTGCTGGTGCTTCTGTTCGAGCTGCTGCTGCTGCTGCAGTTGCTGCTGCTGTAGTGCTTCTTGCGACTCTTCGAGCTGCTGCCTCTGGTGGTCCAAAATTTGCTGCTGCAATTCGCGCTGTTGCTGCAGCTGGCGCTGCAATGCTTGATGCTGGTGCAGCAGCTGCACTCCCTGAACCCTGAGGGAGGCTTGCATGTCGGCTTGCTGCTGCAAAAGCTGCTGTTGCTGCTGCTGTTGCTGCTGCTGCTTCTGTGCCAACTCCACTTCTTGGCGTTGTAGGCGAGCGTGGAGGTCAGCCAGCTGCTGCTTCTGCTGCTGCTGCCGGGCCTGCTCAGCTGCAAACTCCTCTTGAGCCTTCTGAAAGGCTTGCTGCTGCTGCTTGAACCATTGCTGCTGTTTCTGCTGCTCCTCCGCTGCTGCTTGCTGCTGTTGTTGTTGTTTCTTCACCTCTTCCTGCTGCTGCTGCAGTAGCAGCAATTTCTTCTCTGCTTCCCCCTGTTTTGCCTCTACCTGCTCTCGCTGCCTCGCCAGTTCCTGTTTTTGTTGCTCTATAAGCAATAGCAGCTGGTTATGCTGCTGCTGCTGCCGCTGCAGCTGCTGTAACTGCTGCGCCAACTGTCTCCGCTGTTGCTGCTCTGATGCCCCCTCAAATAGCGCTAAGAGGGCCTCCTTATCCGCTAGTTGCTGTTCTACAGCATGCAGTTCTGCTGCCAGGAGCTGTTGCTGCTTGATATCTTTGTCCATGGCTGAGTGGTGCCGCTGTTCTTGCTGCTGTTGCTGCTGCTGCTGCTCTCGCTGGAGCTGTTCATCCTCTTGTTGTTTTGCCTGATTCTGATCTTTCTGAGGCTCTTCGCGTTCTTGGCACATGTTCTGCAGATCCTGCCTCTGCCGCTCCTGCGGTTGCTCATGTTGCTGCTGCTCTTGCCGCAAGTGCTGCTGTCGCTGTTCCTGCTCTTGCTTTGGCAGCTGCTCCTGTTCTTGTCTCTGCTGTTGCATCCATGTGTGGCAGCCAACCTGCAAGAATTTTGGCTGTTTCACAGAGACTTTTGGACAGAGATTAGGCGCCTGAACTGCTAGGTGCTCCTGCTGCTGCTGCTGCTGCTGCTGTTCTTGTTGTTGCTGTCGCTGCATAATTGTCCAGCGCATTGAATATGGCTGCTGCTGCAGCTGCACATCTTCGTAGAAAGTGATTCGCTGCCCGGCTAGGGGAGAAGGGGAGCCAGAGTTACTTTTGAGCTCTTGGCCCGTTGCTGTTGCTGCAACTGCATCTGCTGCTGCTGCTGCAGCTGGGGCTTCTGGAAGGGCTGCAGACGTCATATTCCCCCCTATCGCTCCATGTGGTCTGAAAGTAAATACGGCAGACTTTGAAGTTTGCATGCAGCCGGAAATCTTCCCAGGAAAGCATAGAATCTGCGTTTTGCTGCTATTGTCCGCTGGGGCTGGCACCAGCCGATATTTTCTGCTACCGCAGCGGCTCAGCGCTGTGATTTCTTTTCTGCTGCATGGGCTTATGTTGTCAAAGTGCGAAAGCATAGCACATAGATCATGCTGCTGCTGGTGCTGTTCCTGGTGGTGCTGCTGCTCCTTCGTGCGCAAGAGTTGCTGCCCACGGTTGGAGGGGGTCAGTTCCACCGGACCCTGCAGCATGAAAGGGCATGGCCCCAAAGGAAAGGCGCCTTGCAAGTCCGCTACATCAGGTTGGGCTCTGTATCCTCTGGCTAGCCGCAGCACGGGGGCCCCTAGTCCTGAGGCCCTATAGGGAGGCCCCGCTGGACAGGCCTTCTTGTCGTGTCGCAGCACCACAGGCGGCTGGAGGGCAGGGAAAATCATGAATGCAGTCTTTGAATATCAGTACCTGAGCGTAGACTGCAAACCGTTTGCCCATGTGACTGCCGCGGGTCCCGCGGCCGTCCTGCTTTAAGTGGACTGCCGCTAGCCCTACTCGACCAGAAGCAGAAGACAAGCAAACACAGCAAAACAGATACATTAAAAAATGAATTCAAAGGCTAAAAATAAAGGAACTAAAACTTGGGAAGATGCCAGCGTGTATCTCTATCTTCTTGTCTGTCGGTGTGGCGGCCTTCGGGCCTGGTCATCTGGAAGGCCCGCTGCTCGTCGGGCTCCGCCCGTTGCTGCTTTCTTGGGTCATTTTACACTGAAACTACCTTTAAACGTGTCCTTTGCTAATTTTAAAGAGCTTTAATCTTAGTTTTTATACTTAGGGGCTTGGCTTCGTGGTTTTGCCTGCACTGTTCAGGATTTACGTTACAGCTGAGACACTCCGTCGGCAGCAGCCCCGAAACAAAGTGATGTCACTCCAGGGTTTTAGTGTTCTCCTATTCAGGTGTACGAAATAGCAAGTGTTTTGACTAAATAAATATACATTTTATTACTTAGGCTACATTTTAATCTTAGAAGAGAAGAAAGCGGTGAAACAAAGCAGCAAGCACACACATACAACCAAATAACCAGCGCTGCACACCACCAGATGCTGTCCTACATCTACACAAATACCCACTCCCATTGCCACTCTTTCCCTCAGCACATACACCAAAGGACCACTTGAGTTTCCTCGAGGCTTGCAAGATCGGCAAGCTAGGGAGAGCTCCGCTTCAGCCGGCTCTCCAGGGCCCCCTTAGTGTGCGCTTAAGAGGCTATACTAAGTGATTTCGGCTGCACTACACAAAGGGTCTTGACGGGGCCCTATAAAAGGTCCCACAGCTCACCATGAGCAGCAGCTCTGCTCGCCCAGTTGGGTCCCTCCACCACTCTTTGGACGCGCTTGGAGTTGCTCCACAGGTATACGGGCTAAACCCTGGGGCTTATAAACATAGAACCACTAAGGCAACAGCAGGCAGCACTTGGACCCCTAAACTTGGGTTATTCCAATACATTTCTAATACCTAATCTGTACGACGGGCTCGAAGCATTCGACCTAACTTATGCTTCAAAACTAAGGCCTCTTCTTGCTCCGTTTCAGGAATCCCCCTGGAAACAGACCAGCAGCTCCAGGGATGGCAAAAAGTGGGAGGCATCTTTGAGTGGTCGCGGTGAGGGAGCCACGCTATTATGACGTACAGTTAAGGCTCTACGACTTAGGGACTAATGATCCGACATAGTTGCAACAATCAGCGCTGTGAGGAAGAGCATAGGGCCCATTTGGTGTGAATATTAAGTATTCAGCTGCAGTAAAAAAACTATGACAGTTTGTGTGCTTGTCTTCATTTGTTTGTCTTCTTCTCTCCTTTGCCATCTCCGTGATTTCCTGATAGGAAGTTACAGCTCTCCCAAGGATCCTGCTGAGGTCAGGCAAAGGCGGTAAAATATAAGGAAAAATATTTTGTCATTGCGTGTGTGTCGGCCGCCGCTGTCTGCCATTACGTATTGCCTTGCCCTTCCTGCCCGTTCCCTGCAATGCTTGGTGACTGCGCGTTGCCGCCATTGCTGTCTGTTGTCCTTGCAGCTGTATTTTATTTTCTTTTGCTGCTGGTCGTATTTGCTTTTGCAGTTTTCCGTTGAGGAGCTGCTACAAACTCTTTCCAAGGACAGTACCCCGCAGCAGTGCGGGCTGCACGCTCGCTCTTCGGGAACCTACCAGCTAGCTAATATAGCTCTCGCAGCAAATAGCTTGCTAACAAACTCCTTCTCGCAACAAATCGCCATTTTCACACTAATAGCTTTAGAGTCCTTTCAATTGCTCGTGCTTCGGCTTATCCCTTAAGCTGTGCATCGTTCACTACACTCCGATATCTGTTTAATTTTACCGCAGCGGGACGCCTAGATCAGAGCAGACCCCTCAAGATGTCATCAACAGCAACAAGAGCAACAGCAGCAGCAAGCAGAGCAACGGCAGGACCAGCCAATTGCTGCCCATCAGCGGACCAGCTCCGCATGCGCTTCACAGCTCTCTTCAGTCTGCGGGTGCGTTCCCACGGCGTAGGTTGCAGCGCCTAGGTTTGCTGATAAGCACTTAAGCTTCTGAATTGGAAGCACAAAGAAGCACAGTGGTGCTGCTGCAATATGGCTCTTGCATAAGAGGCTAACAATGCTGACGGCAAGCTCACCGCTTGCTGGCTGACTGGCCAGAGGTTGAGCGAAAGTTACTGCAGGTGGAATTATTGCATGCGACTCCATGCTTAGAGAGCTCCATAGCTACCTGGTTATTAAATAGATAGCTAGCTCGTAGTCAATATCTTGTGCATGAATTTGTTTAGGGCGAGAGACGGCAAATGAGCTGAAAGTACCAGAGACAGTAAGAAGTGCAAGTTTTAAGAACTAGAGATGAAAGCCCGAAGGGCAGAGCAAAAATCAATGCCGTATCAATCACACCTGCCAGGGGCCGCAGCTATTGCATGAAAATCATCATCATGGAGCAACCAGCTTCCCAAATACTCGAGCATTTGCCTTTTCCTTTGCTTTCGTTGGCCTCTAATTGTTCGCTTATGCACCTCTGCTGCCGTCTGCCGACTTATTTGTCCCTCTCTGTCTCGCCCACCTATCTGTCTCCAAAATTACTGCTCCTTCGTCACATGCAGACAGCAGGGGCTGTCTGGGACATTGAAGGCCTGCTAGGCCTCAGGGGTACGCTGCAAGAACTCCCAAGCAACAGCAGTCCCACTACCAGCGACAAGGTAGCCGAGGGAGCAGTAGATTCTGCCAGCAGAGGAGCAGCAACACCCCCTGCAGCAACGGCAGCTGCAACAACAGCAGCAACAGCAGTCGCGACTGCCGCAGAGCCCGCAGGAGCAGCAGAAGGGATCCTTCAAAAAGCTCGACAGGACAATGCTGAAGTAAGGCAGTGATGGGTCATTTTGGTTTCTGCCTCTGCTTCGTTTAGTCCATTTTATTTGGTGAAATTCCTTTTGTACTGATTTTTGTGTGCTCTATTCGTTATGATTATCCCACTGTTTTGCCTATTTGTATTGGGAGCGGCTGGTTTTTGTCTGTGTGCTTCTGGCGTAGTTTCTTTCTCCATTTTCGCGCACTCCTACAGTTTTATGTTTTTTGCTTTCCTCTGCTGGTTAGCTAAAGTCAGCCACATTGATTTTTCTGCGCGCGCACCTGTAATTTTTTACTAAAAATGCGCACACACTTAGTGCTTTCATCCTCCTCCCAATACGAAAATAACTGCTTGCCAATTGTCTCATACCAGCTTTTCCTCATGTAGTACGTTGCAATCGACACAACAGTGATTTGTTATTTCTACGCAGTTTCTTCATTTGGAGTTCCTCTATCTTTGAAAAATGATTCTCGCTTTTGCTTCTACTTTAGTTTTGTTCGATGGCAAAACAACCACCTTTGACTTCATCTCATTTTTCATTTTGTTTTTATGCGTTTTCCTTTCAGAGCTTGGCTGAGGCAAACGTTCGCACCGCCCAGCTGGAGTGGGCAGAAATGGGCAATATAACATCTTAATCATTTCGAAGTTACAGCAATGTTCTTATTCACCAGCACTCTAGCTCCCGGAGCCTCCCTTCTGCATTCATGGCTCTGTCTGATTGTATCAAATCTTTGGCTATGCATTCATCTCTCTTTACGTTTGTCTATGTGTCTGTCCGATCCTGAAATTCAAATCCTTCCATCTTTTTCGTGGGACATTTGTCCCTGTATCGTTTTTCTCTCTTGTTTTTGTGACTGTCAGTGTTTACCGTCGTATGCATCCTCCTCGCCGTCTTTTTGTGGCTCCTTTGTGTTTGTTTATGCGTGTAACTCTACACAGTGCGCTATCATATGGGCAAAAGACATTAAACATTCGCACGCAAACAATGCCGTTTGTAACTCTGGGGCTTCTGCCTTTGACTTGAGTACTCCTTCACGCCGCAGGGCTGAGCAACAGAAGCTCAAGCATGAGCTGCTGCTACTGCGACGGCGGCAGCAGGTGGAAGCTTCTGCACTGCGGGCGCAGCACGATGCGAAAGTGGCAGCGGCAAAAGCAGCGTGGGAAGCAGAAAGACGAAAGCTGGTTTACAAAAATCAGACCTTGCAAGCTACAGTTGATCAGTCTGTCCTAATGCTTTCTGGATTATCGGCTGCTTCACAGTTGTTTGGTTGTTTATTTGGCAATACCATCAGAGCGGCTCTTATGCTCAATCAGCAAAAGTTTAGTGTCTTCAATTTATTGCCGGCTTTGCCTGATTCCTACTTTGCTGTAATTTTACAGCGCAGTTCTTCTGTTGCTACTCTCACGGTGGTTTGTACTTTCGTCGGTGCTGCTTTAACCCAATAATAATTTTAGCTGCTGTGCCCAGCTGTAGCAATTTCATGCTCTTTTTTGTCGCTGCTGTTTGCTGCTCTTGCTTATTTCCCGCTCTTTCTCACTTTTCCAGGACCCTGGCACGCTACGAAGAAGACGTACGCCTTCTGGGTGAAGTGAGGGGATCTGTGCTTCAAGCACAGGAGCAGCAGCAACAAGAGCAGCAAAAATTGTTGCAGCAGCAGTTGCAGCAGGCGCTGCAGGCTGAAAGAGACCACTGGTCAGCCAGGTTCAAAGCGATCCAAGATGAATGGAGTAGAAAACTCGAAGACGAAAGGAGACAAGCACAAGCGAGGTTGCATCAGGCACAGCAAAACAGAGTACGGTTCAGCATTAAAGAAATGAAATGAAAACAAACCAAAATATCAAAAACCAACCAAAAGACAAAAGATTTAGCGGGGGGTTTTGCAGCTAGGGGTGCAAAACTAACGCACACTGCTTGAAGCATAAGCTTTTAGGTTCAAAGCATAAGTGCATGCGCTGTATACCTGGGCGGTCTCGAACTGTGTTGCAGGATGGTCCTGCATGGCATGAGCTGCACGAGCTGGTGGTGGAGTCAAGACGCCATTCTCAGGAATTTAAAAGGTTGTTACTGTCATTACAGCAGCAACAGCAACAACAGAAAGAAGCTGGGAAGGACAAACCATGTGGAGTAAGCAGAGCAGGTCCTTACAGCTCGAGCTCAGCTAGGATTTCGCTGCAGTGGAATCTCCGCTGATGCCAACGTTACTGATCCTGCAGCTTCGGTTCAAAGGAGCCATGTGGCGTCTTACGTTTAGCTAGGGCAGATGCTCCAATGACAACATGTTAACGGCAGCAACTCGGTGTGGCGCATGTAGCGCGTCCTGCTGCTGCAGTGGCAAGTGTGCTGCCTGTCGTTTACCAGGCTTGCGGGGGAGCAGTAAATATGGAGGACGCCGTTGTAGCGCTGCAGGAACAGCAGAAGGCGCTACAAGAACAGCAGCAAGCGCTGCTGCTGCTTGCCAAGGAAACGGCTAAGCAGCGGGAGGAAACAGAACACCGCACACAAACGATTTCAGCCCGGTGGGCGTAGTTGATATCATTAACACACTATAATTAAGAACCCATGCAAATGATTGATGCGAATGCTCATTGCTTTCAAACCAAATGCTGACGGCAAATTGGTAAATGGACTTCTTGCTTTCTGGTTTCTGTGTCTCCCTGCGCCTCAGGCTTGCTGCAGAATCCCTTCAGCTCCAGAGCCTCCACCGTTCTCTGCTTGCAAGCAGGCAGCAGCAGCAGCAGCTGCAGCAGCAGCATCAACAACAGCTGCAGCAGCAGCAAGAAATCCTTGAGCAGCAACTGCAAGCCCTGGTTCAGCGGCAGTTGCAGGCAGAGAACGAAGCTGCCACACGGCAATTGGGACTTGAACAGGCAAGCATGCACTCTGAACCCTAGGAACCTAAATAAGCAGAACCAGGAAACTGCTTCACCAATGCATACAGCGATAGAGTTTGGAAAAAGGGATGTAGAGGCGGTCCCCACAGCTAGCTTATACTATATAAAATATTTACATAAGGAATTGATCACAAGGTATACCATCGCTTGTTTTCACTTTCATTAACAGCGGGAAAGAGAAATAGAAAGAAGAGAGGGGCGCCTCGCGGGAGCCGCAGCGCTGCAGGAGAAACAACACAAAGCGCGACGCGAGTATCTGCAGACTGCTGAGGCGCATCTGCTCAAGCTGCAAAGCGAATTGCAAAAAGAAAGGTATAGCACTGTGGTGTATGATCAATTAACATAAAATGGACTGCAAGTAGTTAGTGATTTGGGGGTTTCCCATATGGGGTCTGCGCGCTCAGGCAAGAGTTGACAGAAACTGCCTTAGCCCTTGAAGAGAAGCGGCGGGCAATGCGGCACTGCTATGAAGAAATGGAAACGCAGCGGTTGGCTATGGAGGGACGTGCTGCAGCAGCAGCAGCAGACGCCCAGTCAGCAGCAGCTGCTGCTGCTGAAGCACGCACCTTGAAGCAAGAAGGCATCAAGGCCAAAGAAGCACTTCATCAACTTCATCGCCATGCAAAAGATGTACATTGGGAAAGCCATTGCTGCTCAATCATCATGAAGTTGCAATTTAAACTGCAAATTAAGCACTATGGGGTGTTGCCGGTGGCGGTAATGGTGGCAACGATTTTGTTGCCAGGGACTTTGCTTTTAGCAGACGTTGTCATAGTCTTGATTGGTATATACCACTTCAAATAACACATAACGTTTCGCAAACTTTTAGTTGAATCGGTGGCAAACTAAAAGGAAATTAACGGCTACGTGGATTAACTCGGGATGTGTTCGATGCGCCAGGCAGAGAAGAAGCAGCATGAGCAGCAGGAAGTGATCAATACTCTTGTAAAAGAAGTAGAGAGCAGCAGATTGGAACTGCTGCGGCTTCAGCAACAATCTGGCCATTTGTACGTACGACACAGCACTCACACGTTATTACCCTACAGCAGCCTCTGCTCTACTGCTGGAGCCCTGGGAGCAGAACATAAATTGCGCAAATTTTTCAGTTCCACAAGTAGCACACAGGCTCTCATGGGTTGCAATCAGCACAGCAGTTTCCAGACCAGCAGAAGCTGCCAGCCCTTCCGTCAATCATTAGAAGGCTCCCCAACCAGAAGAGGGCGCAATCAACCTTCAAAGCTGTTCCTGACGCAGCAGTACTTTCGCACAGATGGTGAGGTGATGTCAGTTTATTTTGCGGTAAAGCGTGTAATTGACTGTACCGCCAACAAAAGCAGTAAGAACAGCAGTGATAAATGCTGCAGCAAAACGTGGCGACTCGGTCGGGACTGCGTGCCGGCGAGAAAGTTCTTAGCAAGTTGCGTACAGTGGAAGAAGCCAGCAGCCAAGAAAAGCGGCAGCGGCCGCAGCAACAACGTTTCATAACTTTTTGATGCCCATTCGATTGTGATATTTCAGGAAGCCTCCACGAAGCCTTGCAGTCGCTGTCGAGGACGAGTGCAATTTTAACACAAAGGACAGAGGCAGCTCACGAACGTTTGTGGAATCTCCGGCGTTGTTCTTCAGAGTAAGGGTGGTAACATGCAATAAACGCGATTAACTCAAATACACATTTCCAAGAGGCTCAACTGATATACTTACTGGATCGGCAAGATTTTAGCCGTTAAGCTTGGTGATTTGAAGGGAAACACATAAGACAGTGCTGGGCTCTGAAGCTCGAATACTCCGCTGCATTTATTAAGTTTGGTGAGCAAGATCATCGCACTTGAATGAGCGATGAACTGCTACTGCAGGCAACAGCAGCGCCACCAGAGTTCAAACGCGTTCCATGGCCGTCTGTCCCATTCCACAAGTATCCCCTTTACTCAGCAGGCCACGCTCCCCCTCACTCGGCAGCAGTCAGAACAACGAGAGCAAGCGAAAGCGCGTGATGCCTTCACACCCGAACAGCGAGATGACACAGGTGCGCTGAGGCTTCAAGCTAGCCCTAATCACACTGGAAAGAACAGTATGAAATATGTATATGTAGAAGTGGCGCTACAAATTATGGCAGTAGAGTACCTTTCATGTGCGTTACATGCCGTGAATCCATGTCAAAGCATAATAGTGAAGACTTGCATACATGCCAGGATGAACGTACGATACAGTTGCAGGCATGTGCGTAAAGTATATCCTACGTAAAAACGAAATCTTTGTGGTAGTCATGAGCTGTAAAGCAGCTGACATACTTCAATAACAGCAAGACGCTGTAGTTGCTGCAAACGTAGCGCAGCACATGCTACAGGAGTCTCGCCTAGGGCACCATGAAGCGCCTTGTGCATAAGCGGCTCTTCTTACAATGCTGATGGCAGAGGGCTGTGGGATTAGAAGCTTCGAAGGGTTTCTGGGAAGATCGTGGTTTTAGTGTCAGGTGGCAAAACTGCACCTGAAGTAAACCGTTTGCTCTGTAGATGACGCAACCCTGCATACTGCGCTGCGAACGAAGTTGCACTAAGGGGACTTGAGAAGTCAAAAGCAGCATTTTGAACTCCTCGTGATCTCATGCTTTGTTGCTTGCCTAAGGGTTAAACCTACGCTGACGCTCTGTAGAACACACACTGGCAATGCGTAGCGAGTCGAAGTAATCGAGGGGTCGTACTTCTCAGGTACTAATTTTTTTGTATTCCGTAGGAACGGTGGAAGCAACGTGCGCCTCCTTAGCCAGTCTTGATGAGGCTTTTCCGGCCCCTAGTCTCAAATGTACCTTTTCGTCACGAGCTCCTTGAGATGATGCGGAAGGAGCAGCGATAGTAACAGCCAGTACAAAAACGTCAGCACCAGATGCGGCAAGAGCGAAGAGAGCCGTTGGCCTCTTTCCGTCGTTTTGGTGTCATTGAAAAAAACCGCTGTCACGTGACGTTGAAGAGGCCAAGCCTACTGTCCGAATTCATCTTTCAAGGGCTTTACCGCCACTTCAGTACAACCTCGCTCGCTTCTATTGACATCTATTTTCCCCCATATTTTCTGCTACACCTCCATCAAACGAGAGGCAGCTTAGTGGTCGGTGGATACAGCTGTATACTGCTTTGTTTAAGCATCAAGAAACGCCCTGACATCGCACGCCTTTATTGGCGCTGATTGGGCTGCCTGCTGCTGCACTCCTGCAGTAGGGCTCAGCAAATGCGGTGATAGGGATTAACATCGGCGTGTGTGCTATGGGAAATCGACCGCAGAGACTGACGCTTCATGGGGCCTTTTTGGTACTCTGGTGTGGATGCCAAGAGGTCCTGAATACGTGAAGAGACTATGCCCATGAAAAGGAAGGACTACGCGAAGATATAGTTGCTCTGCGCAGCAACATACTGATGAAGACAGGTGCTTCAGATGCCCTGGAGGAAATGATCGCGAAATGATTTCATTTAACTTCAAATAGTATCCTCCACTAATCTGTATTCGTATGACCATGTAATAGAACAACTACACTATGTACCAAAGAGAAAATCTGCTCCTTTGAAAAAAGCATGTAGAGGAGGAACTCGCAGGGAGCATTCTCCAACTAGCCCATTGTAGTCTATTCCATGAAGAAACTGTGTTCTTCCCTATCCAGAATTCTGACACTAGACAACCACGCAACTTTCGGCTTTTTCTGCCTTCCGTTTTGTTAAACGCATAGTGATTAGCGAACTGAGGAGTTGGGTAGTCCATGAGCTCCGCAGCATAGCAAGCACCTAGCTTCAACAACAAGAGAGCTAGCATTCTGCACTTCATTCCTGATGTATTTGTAATGATTGAGCACACGTGTGCCGTAGAAAATCAGTCTCAAATGCACCAAGGCCACTTATTCTATATGTATCGTATAAAAACGCATCAAACTGA